TTTTATTAATATTTATCGAAGCTGCATTGAGAAAATCAAAGTAAAAATCTATATGACTTCATTTGCATGAATCAGCTAAAAATATTGAACCAGTTGATCGAACGACTAAGGATCCTTGGGCTTGTTTATCTATAGTAAACATTTTTAAAAACTTGAAGTAATACAGTAAAATATTCAACTTGTCTGAAGCAACTGAATCTATTCAACTTATCTGAAACAAATAACGAATATGCTCTGAAATTGTTATTTAGAAAGATAAAATAGTGCTATCGCATATACATTACGTCATTTAGCAAAGATATATATCATTACCGGAATCCAGACTTATCGAATCGGCAAAATAATCATTCGGTCAATTTTTTATCAGATGTCCCAAAATTTACAGCTATTATCATAATTTCTGGGACACTTGCTCATTACCCGAAATCTTTTTGGTCGTTCGGTAAATTGCCTAGCTCTCCGGAAACTACATCGCTATCTTTGGACCTTCAGTTCGGAGGCAGTGATGTAATTTCCGGAAAGTTAAGTAATTTACCGAACAACCAAAAAGATTTCGGGTAATGAGCAGGTGTCCCAGAAATTATGATTGTCCGGAGCATAGCGGAGGACTTTATATGTTTAGGTAAGGTGATACAAAAGTTACATTTTTGATGTGTCAATAATTGTAATATCAAAATTGTAACTTCCGTATTTGGTGTCTGTCCGCATGCGTATAATAGTTACATTCTTGATGCATTACATTGTTTTGATTTGTGCTGAGTCAAGAAAAAAGTTAGCAAGTTTATATTATTGCGCTCCGGACACACAATGCTGCGCATTAACCTAGTAATAGCTGTAATTTACATAGTACATCGAACACCCCAACGGTATCGGTATTAAAAAATAGCCGGCAAAAAGCTTGTGTTAACTATATTTGTCGATGTATGCATTAAATAGTTACATCATAGGACAAACAATGTGAGAAACCCGTGAAAGACGCCGTAGTTATTTAGTCATCATAATTGTTTTATATGTAATTTTAAAATGGTGATTTATAATCAGAATCGATACGTACGTACTACGTACCATTTCACGTTCATACAATTATGATTTATGTTACTAATTTAGGAATTGCATAAATATTTTTTTACTTTAAAAAGTTATAGATCAAAAAGTCTTAGATTACTCATAATAATTGGTTGATATATTTATTTAAACCAGCACAGATGTCAATTCAATGTGCTGATCGATCTGAATTTTACGATAAAAAAAAAAAATCTTTTTGAAAAAAAATTTTTTTTTTTAATAATTATTAAAAGCACGGCACGTTGAATGTAAATTAAAATTTAATTGATTGATTTGATTAAAAATATTCAATAAAAAAAATAATAAGAAAATTATCGAGAAATATAATTATCGTAGATAAAAATTTTATACATACTATATAATGAAACCACAAACTATCGCTATGGAACAAGAAAAATTATGTGATGATGCTTTAGAGCTTGAAAAACTTATATCCCAAATGAAAGAATTAATGGTTGATCGTAAGAAATGCAAATTATTTATATAAAACTAACTATTGTATAATGATTCTTGAATAATAAAATTCTAAAATCGATCGATAGATGTGAACGATAGTCGAAAACCGGGTGCTTTAGTTGTAGACTACAAATCTCCTAAGGAATTAAAACAAATTATGGATTTAGAATTAGGTTACGATGGTATTGGAGTTGTAGGTACTCGCCTCGTTCATCCAATTTTTTAATTTTCTTATGTAAATCAATCCAATTATTCTTAGATATCATTTATTGATGTTTCATAAAAAACAGGATTAATGCCATTAATACAAGACATATTAAAATATAGTGTTAATACTTGGCATCCGGGGTTTTTGGGAAAATTATATGCTGGCACAAATCCTGTTGGTATCATATCTGAAATGGTGATATCATTATTGAATGCGAATTCACACGTTTATGACGTTTCACCTGCACTTACAATGATCGAAAACACCGTTTCGCAAAATTTGGCAAAATTATTAGGAATGGGCGAGGTAATTAATTATTCTTTAAAACTTTAATATTAGTAAATGTATTATTTGATTATTTCTTTGAAATTTTATATTAATAAATGTATTATTTGATTATTTTTTTAAAATTATTTGTTAAATTAGAAATCCGGTGGAATGACTTGTCCGGGTGGTTCTTTTTCGAATCAACTTGCCATGATAACTGCACGGACTTGTATGTTTCCCGAGATTAAAACTAAAGGTTATCATGGTTTTGGAAAAAAATTATTGGTTTTCACTTCCGTTGCTGGTCATTATTCTGTCGAAAAAACCGCTATCGCCTTAGGTTTGGGTATCGATAGTGTAATTAAAGTTCCAAGTGATGATCAAGGAAGGATGAGGACTGATGAATTAGGTATTACCAAGACTTTATGCTTTATTGATATGTTAATGATGTGTTTTTGATTTATTTATGATTGATTCATGACTTATCATAGAACGACTGATCAAAAAATCTTTTCAACGAGGTGAAATGCCTTTTTTTATTAATGCTACCGCTGGCACTACTGTTTTGGCATGTATTTATGCTAATCTGTTGTCATGTAATATGTTTTCATGTATTATGAATTATATCTAATAAATTATATTTGTAATTTAGGGGTCTTTCGATCCACTACGTGAAATAGGAAAAATAGCTAAACGATACAATCTCTGGTTTCATATTGATGGATCTTGGGGTGGAAGTCTTGTATTTTCTGAGAAGCATAGGCACTTGATAGATGGTGCTAGCTTGGTCTGTTAATTTTTTTCTTCAATCAATTTACCAATCTTTTTATTTGTTTCAATAATATATTTCCATTTAGAAATAACTGTTTTTTATTTTCCTTAATAGGCTGATACCTTTGTATTAAACCCTCATAAAATGTTAGGTGCTCCATTACAATGTTCATTTTTACTTGCAAAAGATAAAAAAATTTTTTCTCAATCAAATTCCTTGAAAGCCGAGTATTTATTTCATAAAGAAGACGATTTAGGTGATGGCACTGTTGGATGTGGTCGTCGTCCGGATGCTGTAAAATTATTTATAGGTTGGAAAATATATGGCATACAAGGATATCAAATACGAATCGAACATGCATTTAAAATGGCCAAATATTTAACTTTATTAGTAAAGAATAATCACTGTTTTAAATTGGTATTGGATGATCCTCCAAGTTTACAAGTTTGCTTCTGGTATTTACCTATTGGAATCAACTTCGATTTAGAAAATAAAAGATTTAGAACAATGATGTCAATGATCACTAAAGAGATACATAGGAGGATAATGCATCGCGGAATGTTTTTGTTTGATTATTCTCCTTTGATTATTGGTGATAAAGAATTGCCTTGTTTTTTCAGAATTGCTTTGAATGCGCCTTCAACTCGTGAAAAATATTTAGATGATTTGGTATG